CAATTAATAGTTTAGCAAAACATTTTTCTTAGCTGTTACAAAAAGCAAACAAGCTCAGCCTAAATTTCTACAAATCCAGAATCCTTTAAATTAAATGGGCTTTTAATTTTCATAAAACAGCACTTTTTTTCCTGCTTCTTACCTTGCAGTTTTTCCCCCCAAATGGAAGGTGCCATCAATTGGAAGATGAGTTTTAATGATCTGTGGGAAGGCATTCCATTGGCCTTTTCTAAACTTGTGAACTGATTTTACTTTATTTATGTCTGTTTAAGAAACTTAATTTGAAGATGTTTCTATTTAGATGGTTTTGTTTGCTGGATGATGAAGGAGAATACTTTATCACTGACTACATTACCCCTGCATGTCCTGGGAGCTATAGTCACAGAGAGATACTCTTCTCTAACAGCCTGCCCTCCACAAGTCACTGCTCTGGCCAGTCGATCGCACTTTCTTCACTTCATCAAAACACATCACTGCCATAAGTTCCCTTTATCACCACTCTTTCTCCCAATCTGTCCCTCCTTTCTGCCTTCATCCCTGCAGCTACTCTTGCCAGTGCTCTCAATGCCCTTGCTTTTTTTGTCCTTCCCTTTAATTAGGAGCTTGGATCAATATTGATCAATGTACTCTGCTTCCACAGGAGGGCCTTTTCCTCAATCAACATGCTCTCCATGGTCAATCGCAGCCTCTTTCATGGCTTCACTTCCTGGCCAAGGTCTGGTGACTCTCCTGTTTACTTCTCTAGTCCAGTGGTCTCTTTGGGTCCTGTCCCCACTAACACATTTCATGGGTGCCTCCTAATTCCCCAAGGAAGACTAAACCCACCATCCTCTCAGATGCTCAAGCTGGGGACCTGGGTAACATGGGAGGCCCAGAGAGATTAATTAATTTGTCACACAGTTTATAAGTGGAAGAGTCTGAGGCTGAAGGACTTTCTTTTTCCACTGATCCACATCTTAGCCTCTCTTATACTTAGGAGTAAGGACTATTTTTCTACGCATCTTCAGGTCTCTAGTCATACATAGCCCAGTGCTTAGCACACTATAAAATTCAGTAAATTTTTATTAAAACAAAGAATGAAAGTATCTTAGAACATTCTCTTCCACTTCCTTACTATGTATGTAAGGAAATGAAAACCAGAGGAATTAGAGCATTTTCTCAAGAGTGTGAAGCAGGCTCACTCTTATCACTTCATATATATCACCAACTGACTGGGAATTGGATTGATTTCTCTTCTGCCTGTTCCATAATCAAGAGCTAATGGAAGAAGTAAGAAGATATGAGGAGAAAATCTAAAATAAAATAAGATTATAAGGAAACAGAGCTGAGGGAATGCTCAGAGTCAGGAAGTAGGAGGTTTAGGAAAATTTACTTCCACATGTACTTACCTCACTCCTGGGCAGGGATAGATGACACTGCTGCCTGACTCTGTATGGGTTTGTATGTGTATGCATGCATGTGTATATGTGTGTGCATATGTGCCAGTACTTTGTGTTTTGTTGCATATTGCCTAGCACTATTCAACTGCTGCTTGCTCTGCCAATAGGAATAACCAGAAGATTGGAGGTGACATGTGTGAATATTAACCCTATGTTACACATGAGGGTATGTGCTTGAAAAGTCTTGGCTCTTTGACATGCTCTTTGGCTTCCCACAACCTGCCTTCCTATTTTCCTGAGCAATTTTGCACACCTACTTTAGGATAGGTGGCAATAAGATCATTAGGTCCAGCCTGGAAGTACTGGATTTTATCCCAAAGGGCATACATGGCTTTGGTCAACAAAATTCCCTGTACATCATCCATTCTGGGGTGCTGAATTTGGCCTTTCTGCTCTGTGGCCATTGGGAAAAGGTATTCATATTTTTTTAAAAATTTTTTTATTGTTATGTTAATCACCATATATTACATCATTAGTTTTTGGTGCAGTGTTCCATGATTCATTGTTTGTTCATAACACCCAGTGCTCCATGCAGAACGTGCCCTCCTCAATACCCATTAGCAGGCTAACCCATCCCCCTACCCCCCTCCCCTCTAGAACCCTCAGTTTGTTTTTCAGAGTCCATCATCTCTCATGGTTCGTCTCCCCCTCTAACATACTCCCCTTTTCTTCCTCTCCTGTTATCTTTTTCTTTTTCTTTTTTCTTAAAATATGTTGCGTTATTTGTTTCAGAAGTACAGATCTGTGATTCAACAGTCTTGCACAATTCACAGAGCTCACCGTAGCACATACCCTCCCCAATGTCTATCACCCAGCCACCCCATCCCTCCCACCCCCAACCACTCCAGTTTCACATTTTTTTGGTAAGATTTTATTTATTTATTTGACATAGAGAGTGAGTGAGAGAGCAGGAGCAGGGGAGCAGAGGGAGAGGGAGAAGCAGGCTCCCCGCTGAGCAGGGAGCCTGACACGGGGCTCCATCCAAGGACCCTGGGATCATGACCTGAGGCAAAGGGAGATGCTTAACCGACTGAGCCACCCAGGCGCCCTGTGGAAAAAACAAACAAAACAAACAAAAATAACAAAGAGAGTAAAATATTTTATTTTAGACAATGTAGGTTGTCTCACTAGAGATGTTCAGAAAGGTACAAGCTTGTAGCAAGGTGCATGCAAGCTTGTCTGATTTGGGGTCTGATTTGGGGGTGGTTCTAGCAGCCAACTGGCTGGGAAGAAAGTGCCTCACTGGAAAGAGAGGATGGGCGGTGGGTATGATTTCACTTGCAGTGCTGTTGATTGTAGCTATTGATTTTAACTGCAATTTCTATTTTATCACATCATGACTAAGCATAATGGGAGATATTGTGTGTTAACTCCTGGCATGCTCTGAAATGGTTCACGAGAAGACCTAAGAACACATCTCATTGTGACTGGGCTGAGTAGCATTCTGGCTTTCTTTGTAAGTGATCAAGGGCCTGAAGCAATTTAAACTGGTCATGTGGGGTTAGGTAGCTTGTCCTTTCTTTTTGTTCTTTCTTTCCTTCTTATCTTTCCTTTTTCCTTCCTTTCTTCTCTTCTCCCTTCTTCTTTATAAATTAATCTTCATTGGAATCCTGCACAGTTTTACCATAGTTTTCTTTTGTTGAAAATTTCTATAAGTATTCTTTTGGTGGGGTGGGGGGCAGGGAAGAAGTGTTTTGCCTAAAGATGACCTACAGTTCCTGTACAGTTCAATTACTATATCATACCACTGATGTAATGTTTCATTTTCTTGATTCACTCTTGAGTTTTAAAACCATTACTAACAATTAGAGAAAAGAGTAAGTTTCCATTTTAAATTTAAAAATTTAAATTTCCATATTATTCAAAATCAGCAAACTGTTTCCTACAACAACAAAACTTTGCACTTACTAAACAAAAATTTTATATCTTGCAGTTCACACTTCTTTAAATTTCACTATTTTAAATTCTGAATAAAAACAAAAACTCCGAGAAGTCACAAAGAATGACAGAATTGAAAAAATTCAAATTTTGCTTTTTTGTTCTTACAATCACTATGCTATCATTGTTCTGAATCTACTTCTGTTTAAACATAGGGATATTCATATACAGCAGAGACACAAATTGTACCTGAAGTGAACTTGAAGGATCCTGAACTGTAATGAATTTAACCCTGAAAGGAAGGAGACCTAGCTGCATCTGTGTGTTAGTTACAGAGGCTGGCTCTATGCCTGGGTGTTCTCTGAATTAACTTCCATACAGAGTTAAATAGACATGAAACCAAACAGCAAAAAATATTAATCTAAAATTGCCAGCTGTGGGAGATATAGACAACTTTTTACCCAATAAAAAGGTGTTAATTTGAAGTTACACAGATATGACTAAAACTTGGTAGTAACAAAGCAATTGTTTAGAATTTAGGGCTAATAGGGGCACCTGGGTGGCTCAGTCGGTTAGGCATCTGACTCTTGATTTTAGCTCAGGTCAAGATCTCAGGGTTGTGAGACTGAGCCCCACATGGGGCTCCTTGCTGGGTGTGGAGCCTGCTTGGGATTCTCTCTGTTCCTCTCCCTCTGTGCCCCCATCTCAAATAAATAAATAAACAAACAAACAAACAAACAAATAAATAAAATAAATAGAATTTAGAGCTAATAGAAGATCTTCCCCCTTCACCCCAGAGTATTTTATCACTCACATTGTTTAGAATTGCCAGAGAAGGGTGATAATAAAAAGCAGTCAGAATTTTAGTTGGCTTAATTCAGCCTCTTATTGCCTTCTCCTGAGGCAAATTGCTTCTACTGCCCTCAGCTTTGGAATGCCACTAGTTGGAACTCAAAGTTGGGAATGTGTGATCTGAAATGTGCACCACTTCCTGTAATTATTCATCTATGCATTCATTTACTTATTTACCAAGATGTCCCTTTCATGGTAATCAGGTGGAACCCCAGAACCTAGCACAGCTGGAGCTTTCTTTGAATGGCCAGGACAGATGTCAGAGATTTCATATTATCAATATAGATATAACCTAATATTTGCATATTTGTACCCAAGGTATTTTATATTACAGACTTAAAAAGTAGGATGCACTTTCCAGAATAATGGAGACCTAAAAAATCCTTGCAGTATTCAAGTCTTTTACTTTATTAAGCCACTTTATTTCTTACTTTGGAAAGAATGGTTGAGAAAATAGCATTAAACATGATCAGTCTAAAAAATAAAACTCGGGGCACCTGGGTGGCTCAGTTGGTTAAGTGACTGCCTTCGGCTCAGGTCATGATCCTGGAGTCCTGGGATCGAGTCCTGCATTGGGCTCCCAGCTCAGCGGAGAGCCTGCTTCTCCCTCTGACCCTCTCCCCTCTCATGTTGTTTTTCTCTCTCTCTCTCTCTCAAACAAATAAATAAATAAAATCTTTAAAAAAAATAAAACTTGTACATACTGTTAATAATCACAGAGACAGTGGTACCATAATTGTATACTTTTACAAAATGCTTTCAGAGATTCTTTGGGCTGGGCTGAAGGACTGAAGATCGCTTCCCCATTTTTGTCATCCACTTTCTATGTACGTCTTGCTCAGAGTTCTGTGAAGAAATTTGTTGATGTTCCTTCCATCTTTTGCCTATAGATTTCATCAAATCTCTCATTCTGAGCCACAGTGAAGTGGTTTTTCTAATCCCCCACAGTACCTAGAAGAGGAAAACCAAGATGGGGTTGTCACTCTGATTGAAAGTTTCTGTGGCCCAACAACATGCCTGCCTCGCTCTACCTTCCCTTCAATGCACACCTATCCTCTGCAGCTCTCTGCTCTGAGAAGGGCCCTGGGGTGCTCTGTGCAGGGAGTGGGCTCCTAGCTCAGGCAGACAATTCACACAAAGGCACTACTGCTTTGGCCCCACCTGTGGTATATTCACATAATGGACTACTGCACAGAAATGAAAAGGAATGAACTATAGACACAGCCCTATGGAGGAATCTCAAAGCATTACATTGAGTGACAGACAGCAGACATAAGAAGGTACATACTGTATGATTTCATCTATATGAAGTCCAAGAACAGACAAAATCAATCTATATTGACAGAAATAAGAAGGGTGGTTGTATCTGAGGGTAGAGATAGACAGGAAAGGGCATGCTAAAGAACTTTTGAGACATGAGAATGTTTCATATCTTGATTGGGGTGCTGGTATAACGTGTATACATTTTTCAACACATTCAACTGTATACTTCAGAGCTGTGCATTTTTTTGTATGTAAGTTACATCTCAACAAAAGAAAACTTTTGGGAAAAATGAGAATGAGATAGTACTGTATATGTATGAGCTTTTTCACTAAGCAGTAACTATTAAAATAATGTTAAAAAGGGGAAATACTCTGTCCTCCCTCTGCCTCTTCTGGAAAGTTGTGCAACAGAAATAAAAGCATTGGGACATAAGAACATACATACAAAGATGTTTACTGTAGCATTATTCATTAGGACAAAAAAAAGTAACTGTAGTGCCCTTCACTAGGGAAATAGTTGGATGAGTTATGATATATCTATCCATACTCTGGTACAACATGAGACCACTAAAAACAGTGAGCTACATGGACCTACATGCCTTGCCCTGGAGGGATGTCTGATATTCTGGTAAGTGAAGGAGTATATTATGACCACATTTAGCTTTCATCATGGTATATATCTTTGTTTGCACATGTATGAACCTGAGGGAATGAGGGTGTATAGAAAGATAGGTATGTATGGATCTAAAGAAGGGCTTCTTGCTAAATCATTGCCTTTGATTATCTGAAGAGAAAAGGAATGGCACTGTTTGGTTTGCTTAACTAGCATGGGATGCTGTTGTAGATTCTAAAATGCAACAAAATGCTTCTCCCTCTGTGCTCTCTCTCTCTCAAATAATAAAATCTTTAAAAAAATTAAATGCAACAAAATAAACTAATAAATTAAAAAAAGAAGACAAGTTGCAAAGCAGTAGCACACATGGTTCCCCTGGTGTGAAAAAGAAGTCCCTGTTTTTGTTTGTTTGTTTGTTTGTTTTTAGAGAGGGAGAGAGAAGGGGGAGGGGTAGAAGGAGAGAGAATTTTGAGCAGGCTCCACGCCCAGCATGAACCCAATGTGGGCCTCGATCTTACAACCCTGAGATCATGATCTGAACAGAAATCAAGAGTTGGATGCTTAACTGACTGAGTGACCCAGATGTCCCAGAAATCTGTGTTTTTAAACAGAGAGGGACTTCCATACTGTTGGTGGTCTCTTCTGGGGAACAGGGTTTTGGTGAAGAAAACTTTTTAAAATATAATTCCATATTGATCTAATTTTTTACAGTGACATGTATTACTTTTTAAGTTAAAAAATGATAAAGCCTTTTTTTTCCCCTCAAAAAGTATTAGCTGGGGCACTTAGAATTCCTCTTTTGGGAACTGGAACTAAAAAATATTAAGGGAACAAGGCAGTACTCAACAGTAGTTATAGTTGAAGTCATGATGTAGAGCAGGTCTGAGCCATGATCCGGACCAAGCTATGAGCAGAAGCTGAGTGAGCAGAAGCTATAAAGTAGGAAAAAGGTGTAATGGGCAGAGACAGGAAGTTAATCACTGGAGGAAGGCACTCATAGCAGACATATGGAGGGCAGCTGAGTCCTGTAAGTGGTGGAGCCTTCGAGCAAGGAGCTGTACCCTTCTGCTCCTGAGGTCCTAATCCTGAGATCCAGGGATGCCCATGAGGTCTGGACCAATGGTTGCTCCTGCTCTTAACTAGCTGTGAGAATACATTAGCCTTACACCAGCACATGACCCCTCCTAAAAAACTCCTCGTATTGGGGCTGGCCAGAAGGACTCTCTGTTTCTTGCAACCAGATACCCCAGAGAGCTCTCTTCTGTAACAAGATCAAATCCCCATCTTATTAGCAGCAGATTATTTTTAATAGGCTAAATGTGCTGTCTTGAAACTAGTAAAACCTAACATCTTCTTGCTAAGAAGCAGACAGTATATTTACTAGACAGTGTTTGATTGATATTTATATTTACATAGTATTTGAAGCCACACAAACCTTTTCTCATGAAGAGGGAAATGGACTGGTCCAGGATAGATTTAGGAACTGTGGAACAATTTGTCATGGGATTTTCTTTCATTTTCTCAAATGATGTCTCCTGGACAATTTTATCTAGCATTGTTTCATCCAAGTTCTTTCCCATGAACTGCATCACTTTCTGAATTTCATGCTTTGGGTCCTGTGGTGACAATAACATTGCATTAGAATGGAAGAAGGTATCAGGACATTCTTAAATTCTTCAGGCTGTCCCTCCCAGAAGCGCAGCCCTGAAATAGCTTGGAGTGGTTCTTCCAAAGGGCTTTTACTCACCCGTTTTATGTCCGCATAGAAGAGGAAGAGAATCTGGTATCTGTCTTTTATCTCCCACCATCCCTTCACATGGTCATACCAGGAACCCCAGCCCACTATAATAGACACAGGAAACAGAAGAGTCTACAAAAGGATCACCCAAAGCCTCAGATATGTCCTGAGTCCTGATGTGTTTGAGTTGGAGGGTGATGTGTTATGGTACAGCCTTGGGGTAATTTATCCCAACATGCTACCTAAAGTGGCTTCATATTTATTGTGTATAATCATATATGCCCTGATATTGGGACAAGGATACCCTTTGGAATGCAGGTGACTCTACAGGTCAAATGACCCAGCATAAAGGCTTTCAAATCAGGTGAGAGGTTTTTGCTGGGACTGTGGGTATTCACTCTGAGCTCAGTCAGCCTGCTCCTCCCAGTCCCAGTCTGAGGTAGGACATGCCTAAGGAGGAACACAACCTTCTAAGGCATCAAAATGTTATGCTTGATTCCTAGACTGAACCTACCTGGAGTGGGCATGCAAAGATGTGAAGGATTATTCTTTATCTTTTCCACTGATGGTTTCAAAATACTCTTCCCAGGTACCAGGGTCAGGAAGAATTTGATTCATCCTTTGGAAATGGTAGTAGGAAACCATGCAGTCTTTGGCATTTCGAGCTACATAAAGGAACTTTGGGATAAGGAGAGAGGTGGGTAAAAGATGGTATGAAAAGTGAATTTTCACAGAATTCACTCAGGTGAATTCCATGCCAAGAGCAGCTTTGTACACCTGGCTCAGCTCTCCTGAGCTGGCAGTTCGACTTGGCTGGTGAACCCCTCCTCCTCTGGCTGTCTTTGCTTCTCTGCTGATTTTCCTCTATTCCAAACTCAGTCCTAGTAAGTAACCTGACTCCTGAGTGCCACTTTAGTTGTCAGGTTCCAATCATTCTGTAGCAACTACGGCATCAGACAGCAACTCCCACATGCATGTTGATGATCCTCCTAATACCTTCATCTCCATTTCCTGGAAAAGCAGGATGCTTCATGGTCTTATTTTTTCCCCTGTTGTCATCAACTCTATTATTTTCATCTCAGATCACTTCAACTCTTGCTCTACAAAGCATCCTGTTAGGTTTCATTTTGACAACAACCTTGTATCCTCCTACCCTCCCAGCCTTTCACTTTATCCAAATCTGACCTTTAATCTCATCATGACTGCTAAGTACTTGACTCACATTCAGACAGCATCATCCTGAGCTGGCCTCATTGACTAGCTACCTCAGATCTGTGACTAATCATTTCATGGTGATGCTGGTTTTTTACCATAAAACAGTTCTCAACTGGGAATGATTTTGCCTGCTAGGGGACATTTGGCAATGCCTGGAGGTATTTTTGCTTGTCACAATTTTGGGTGATAGTGCTACTTGCATCTAATGAGTAGAGGCCAGAGATGCTGCTCAATATTCTACAATACTCAGGGCAGCCCCTTGCCCCATCCCACCAAAAAGAATTATCTGGCCCAAAATGTCAATAATGCCATTTTCCATATTCTGATGCTTTGAATCAGAAGCGTTGCTGACCTTGCTGGGGCCTTGCCGACCCTGGATGGTCTGCCCCTAACAGTTATAGCTGGTTACTATAGATAGTAACAACTCACTATTAAGCTCACTTTTTACATGCAAGCCAACCAGTCCCGAGCCTATGCCTCCCCTATTGGGTTCTCACACTCTGGGCCACTGTCCACTTGCTCTAATCACCTTCCTCAGTCCCCAGGGGAGAGCCACCTGATGCTGGCAAACCAGAGACCTATCGTTGAATTTTTATAGCAAATGTTATATATTGTTTCAGTTACAGAAATCCTATTTAATTTAATAAGAAATTCTGTTTTAAAAATAGCATCTTTTATTTTTGATTCAATCTTTCATTTTCTTACACAACTTCAACATTCTTCTTATATTTCTATATCTGATCATTTTAATATCTGAAATCCTTGAGGTGTAACCCTGCTGTTTGTGCTTTTTGCACACTGTCTTTCTCGTGCTGGCTTGTTTCTTTGTGTATTTTGTAATGTGAGGCTTGAACTCAAGCAGGAACTCTGGCTGCCCAAGCTAAAGCTGTGTCCTCCCCATGTTTGTTTCTGCGGGTCATCCTGGGGGTGCTGGCAATGGTAACCACCTTATGCTAGTTTCTCAGCTTGGGGCTTCTTGGACAATGTAAGAATTACAACGTTGAATCTCCTCCCTGAGAGAGGAGGCCTATGGCCACACATTTTCAGAGCAGCTGAGAGCCCAGGTCAAGACAAAGAGGTTTCCTGGCGTCTGCCTTGGCCCCCTCCACCTATCCATTGAGGATAAAGCCCTTCAGCTGTCCCACCTTTGGTTCCTCACTTTTCTAGTTCCTTCTGCTCTGGGCTTGGACTCCGTGCAGTCACTGAAACTCCAGATCATCCAGATCATTAAAGAACCCACAGCGCAGCTCCAATCTCAGTGACCTCTTCTCTAGTTTCAGCTCCCTTTATTGTGGAACTTAGGGATTTCCTTTACTCTCTGGATCTCAGTTACACATTTACAAAGGCAACTTGTTATGTGTTATGTGTTATTGCTAGATGTTTCATACAGAAGGTTTCAGGGCACTTGGTCATAATCCGGAAATGGAGGTTCTTGTTCCCTTATACAACTTTACTGAAAGGACTCCCATAATTGCTATTGTTCCCTAGAAATACGCCCTTCTAAGCCCTTTGTTCCCTTCATTCCCACCTTTGAGAAAACTTTCTTACCAATGCTCACTGACACCTCAGTTTCTTCCCTTGCCTCCATTCACTCTACAGCTGCTCACTTGTTATTCATTCAGCAAACACATTTTGAATATCCTCTATGTGCCAGGAACTGATTAGGCACTAGAGTGCAGAATAAATAAAGTCCCAGGATAAATAAAGTGAAGAGCCCAGAGTTTACCAGAGGCTGAGGTCAAGTGTTCCCCTTAAGAAATATTGCTCCATCTATTTACCCTTTTAAACGATCTTCAGGGCTTTTTTCTTTCCCCTCAGTTTTTCTTCTCTGCTCTATTATAAGTCTTAATTGCCCACACCCTTGGGTCACTGCGGACACTATCTCTAGTTCTTTCCAAAAATTCAGTCTGGCTTTTGCCTCCATATTTTGCTTGTAATCGTTCAGGTAAATATCCTGTTGAGTATAGATAGAACTTTACATTTTCTCTTATTTGCTGATCAACAGTCAACATTTCCTTCAGAGATGGTGGAGGAGTAAATATGATGACACTGTAGGGACTAGGGCATTTCCTCCCAGGAGACCTAGTCTCCCACCTGTCTCCAGGGAAGCCGTTGCTGTCTTACCTTGCAGTTGTTTTCCCAGAAAGACAGAGGCAAGAGCTGAGTTGGAAGGTGAGTCCTTAGTATCTGTGGAGAGGGCATTGCTTTGGCTTTTTCCACCCCTTTAAGTAAATCAAGAGGAAACATCTGCATAGTATAGGTATTGCATGGGGGAACTTATATTCCAGGATCTGTCCAGAATGTCCCATCACCTCCCATCTTTCTCTTTATCTCTTGACTTTCCTTTGGGATTTTGAGATTACCATCACTTCTGTAGACTCCTACAGCTTGAGAGCTAGAAGGGAGCTTATAGTAATCTGTCACTTTTAGGATGAGGAGATGGAAGCTGAGAATGGACAAGCTAGGTCTTGTGGAAGAGCGCGGGGGGGTGCAGAGCACAGGCCTTTCTCACCTCCTAGCCAGTGCCCATCCCTGCGTGCCTGCAGCAGGCTGCCCATGTACCTGGCCTATGTGCTAGTCGCTTGTTTCATCTCTAAAAATATATATACTTGATGGCATGTGAGTCATGATTTCCACTCTGTACTCTAAAACATTGGGCACCTGCTTTGTGCAATCGTTGTGTTAGACTGAGGTTAGGGGATGTGAGATAATAGAAAGTTTATATTTGTCTCTGCCGCTGCTTCTTGGCATAGAGGTCCTGAAACCCCTGTTGATAGGGGTGATTAGGGGTGTCTTGTTCTTTTTTTTTTAAAAAAGATTTATTTATTTATTTGAGAGAGCGATCAAGTGAGAGAGAGAGAGAGAGCAGGGGGAGGGGCAGAGGGCAAAGGAGAAACAGAATTCCAAGCAGACTCCCCGTTCACTGGGGAGCCTGATGTGGGGTTTGATCTCACGACCCCAAGATCAAGACCTGAGCTGAAATCAAGAGTTGGATGCTGGGGGCACCTGGGTGGCTCAGTCGTTAAGCATTTGCCTTCAGCTTGGGGCATGATCTCGGCGTCCTGGGATTAAGCCACCTGTCAGGCTCCCTGCTCAGTGGGAAGCCTGCTTCTCCCTGTGCCTGCCACTCCCCCTGCTTGTGTTCCCTCTCTCACTGTCTCTGTCTGTCAAATAAATAAATAAAATCTTAAAAAAAAAAGAGTTGGACGCTCAACTGACTGAACCACCCAGGTGCCCCAGGGGTGTCCTGTTCTAATGAGGTGACTCCAGGGAGTGCTCCTGGATGGGGGCTGGTCACCAGCAAGACCAGCCATGATTAGAAGCTTAGAATTTTCAGCCCTGCCCCCCATTCTCCAGAGAGGGGAGAGGGCTGAAAATGGAGTATATGATGGATCATGCCTGCCTGATGAAGCCCCCAAAGTCCAGGGTTTGGAGAGCTTCCCAGTTGGTGAACACATGGAGATTGAAGGGAGTGGTGCCTGCAGAAGGCATGGAAGCTTCTCATCCTCTCCCTATACTTTGTCTGGGGCATCTCTCCCGTCTGGCCAAGGAAGGGGTTGTGGCAACCCCTGATTAGTAGTCAAGTTGGACAGAAGTTGTGGGTAACCTGGGGACCTACTACTTGCAGTTGGCACCTGAAGTGCAGGGAGAGCAGTTTCGTGGGACTGAGTCCTTAACCTGTGGGATCTGATGCTATCAGCAGGTAGGTAGTGTCAGAATGGGGTTGAATTGTAGGACATCTGGCTGGTGTCAGAGAGAATCTGTTGTGTGTGAAGGACATCCCCTCCCCAGCCCACACCCACAAACTGGAATTGGGGCCTGAACCTAGTGCAGGGTAAAAGGCAACAAAGTTAAAGAAGACATGCTCCTTCTCTCTAAACTTCCATTCTAGTGGAATTAGAGGCTTATGCAAAGTGAGCAGAGTTAGTGCTGAGAAATGAGTCAGCATCAAAAGTTAGGCTCTGAAGCAGCCTTGCACACTGGCCTTCCACATGTCTTCTCCCCTGAGTACTGAGCCTCCAGTCAGTGCTTGGTTTTCCAAAGATGGGGGTGGGGTAGAAAGGAAGGTGTGGAGGAGATGCCTCTCTTAGCCCCTGACAGACATCCTGGGAATGCTGTTTGACTTTTTAAAAATCTGGATCCCAGGGAAGGTCACTGTCAGTGCAAACTGCCCTCTGGCTGATATAAATTGTACATGTGGTCTGTCTGAGCATATGGCTTTGGTTATTCTCCCAGGCCTGGCAAGGAGGAAGAGTCTCTGCAGGTCCCAGTAAAGAGGAGGAAGACAGGGCCCTTCACCCTGGGAAGGAGTAGGTCTGGAACTGGTCTTGTTCCCTATACCTTAAAATGTAAATGTTCCCTGGTGCCTTCAAATTTTTGCTGCTTTTGAGCAGCTCAGACCCTGTGTCTCTTCTGTTTGGAAGCTTTCTATACTCAAGGTGATTTTTCACACTTGCTCCCCAAGCTGTAGGTTTGAGGGGGCGGGATTCAGGGTGGTATTGAAAGGATGTGCTTCATTCTGGTCATCTTTGAGTTTGCTTACTTTGTATGTTGAGAATCCTTAATAGTTTTTAAAAATTGTGGTAAAATACATATAAAGTAAAATTTTCCATCTTAATCCTTTTAAAGAGTACAGTTCAGTAGTGCTAAGTACATTCACGTTGTTGTGCAACAAATCTCCAGAACTCTCCATGTTGCAAAACTGAAACTCTGTACCCTTTAAACACTCACTCCCCATTGCACCCTCCCCCAGCCGCTGGCAGTCACCCTTCTTTCTGATTCTGTGGTTCTATGAATTTGACTACTCTGGATACCTCTGGATACCTCATATAAGTGGAATCATACAGTATCTTTTTTTGTGACTGGCTTATTCCACTTAGCATAATATCCTTAAGGTTCATCCATGGTGTAGCAGGTGTCAGAATTTCCTTCCTTTTTAAGGCTGAATAATCTTTCACTGCATGTATGTATCACATTTTACTTATCCATTCATCTGTCCGTGGACACTTGGGTTGCTTCCATCCTTGGCTGTTGTGAATACAGCTGCTATGAACATGAGTGTGCAAGTTATCTTTTCCAGTCTCTGTTTTTAATTCTTTTGGGCATATATTCAGAGGTTGAATTGTTGGATCATAGGGCCCAATAATTTTTTTTAATAAAAAAATCCTGGTACTGAAAAGAAAAATTGGAAAACCACTGGTCTATACTTAAAGTCCATATTCCTTATCAAGACCTATAAAACTGTCCTGTCTCTAGCAGCTTCCACCGTGTCTCCTGCTCACATGTTACCTTTCAGAGCTATTTACATTTGTCCTGCTGTTCCAGGCCCCTCATCTTTCTTGTCTACATCTCTGGGCACCTGGTTGTTAACACTCGCTCTTTAGGAGTCTCTCCAGACACTTCCACTGTTAGCAATATGGTGGCCCAGACACTATGAAGACTTCTCCTGTTATAAAACACCTGCAAAATCTGATTAAAACATCACAAACATCCTTTAAGTGCATAACCATCCTTTAAATGCAAGAAACCAGGGGTCCAGGTGAGAAGGAAGAAGAAGAGAGAGGAAGGTTGTGATGACCTGAGCGTGTTTGCCCCTCAATTCCAGGGCCCAGTGACCCCTATGTGGGAAGGAGGTTGGTAGACTTGGGTTTTCCTCCTCTACATGCAGTCCTCCTGGCAGGCTTGACTGGCCTCCAGCTTCAAAATTTGCTGCCAAAGAACCCCTAGAGCAGAGAGAGATTCTGCGGGTTTAGGGCTTTACATAGAGCATTCCACCAATGTTTTCTTTCACAGGTTCAGGTATATTATACATTTTTTCTTCTCTCTCTCTCACTCTCTTCTCTTTCTGTCTCACATCAGTACCCAGAAGAGCTGGTTGGGATGGTCTCATTCCCTTGTCACTCTGCCATGAGTGCTCAGCCTCAGGGTCAAGAAGTGCAGGAGAGAGTGTCCATGAAAACACCTGAGGTTACAAAGTCTATTCCCGAGCCTGACCTGTGGAAGAAGGGGGCCAATGGAGTCATTTCCAGACCTCCTCATCTGCACAAGGAGCTTGCGGTCTGGCAGGAGAGACACAGCAACGGCAGTAGTTGCTTGTAACTGCAGGTGTCACCTTCTCCAGGCATGGGTCTTCCAGCACATTCTTCACCCTGACCATGGTGTCCTATGTTAACCTCCACCCAACATACTCACTGCTTGTCACCATATAGTCTGCATTTGCCTCCTCTGTTGGACCATGAATTATTGAGGGCAAGTGGAGGTGTGGAGTCTTAGAAGTGCAGCCCAGGGCATGTATTATAAATACTTGTTGAGCTGAGGGGGGTTATAACCTGTATACAGTTAGTTCACACACACACACACACACACACACACACACACACACACACACACATCTTTTTAAAATTTTCCCAGCCCTGCTCTCATTAGGTCACATATGCAATACCTTTGATGTCAAACAGCTGTGTAGCTGGGAGTTGGAGCAGGGGTGTGGAAGGAGGCCTGGGAGGGAGACTGGCCATGTGGGACACAAGTTCACACTACATCCAGCAGTGTCCACCCACTCCTGAACCCTCTGAGGGTGGTTGGTATACTTGACCAATAACCATTAGTCTATTTCAGCAACCACCTTGCCCTCCTAATGGTAGTCCTTACCTCCGGTGGCAGGGACCATCTACCCTGAAATAAAACCACTGCCCAGCTGAGTCTCCACCTGGCCGCTGTTTGTAGCTGGAAAGACCATAAAGCCTGTAACTGTCACCTTTTTGGAAATGGGGCACCTTGGTTTTTTTTTTTTTTTTTTAATTTTTTTATTGTTATGTTAATCCCCATATATTACATCATTAGTTTTTGAAGCAGTGTTCCATGATTCATTGTTTGTTCATAACACCCAGTGCTCCATGCAGAACGTGCCCTCCTCAATACCCATCACCAGGCTAACCCATCCCCCCACCCCCCTACCCTCTAGAACCCTCAGTTTGTTTTTCAGAGTCCATCATCTCTCATGGTTCGTCTCCCCCTCTGACATACTCCCCTTTTCTTCCTCTCCTGTTCTCTTCTTCTTTTCCTTTTTTCTTAAAATATGTTGCGTTATTTGTTTCAGAAGTACAGATCTGTGATTCAACAGTCTTGCACAATTCACAGCGCTCACCGTAGCACATACCCTCCCCAATGTCTATCACCCAGCCACCCCATCCCTCCCACCCCCAACCACTCCAGTAACACTCAGTTTGTTTCCTGAGATTAAGAATTCCTCATATCAGTGAGGTCATGTGATACATGTCTTTCTCTGATTGACTTATTTCACTCAGCATAACACCCTCGAGGTCCATCCACGTCGTTGCAAATGGCAAGATCTCATTCCTTTTGATGGCTGCATAATATTCCATTGTGTATATATACCACATCTTCTTTATCCATTCATCTGTCGATGGGCATCTTGGCTCTTTCCACAGTTTGGCTATTGTGGACATTGCTGCTATAAACATTGGGGTACACGTACCCCTTCGGGTCCCTACATTTGTATCTTTGGGGTAAATACCCAGTAGTGCAATTGCTGGATCGAACGGTAGCTCTAATTTCAACTGTTTGAGGAACCTCCATACTGTTTTCCAGAGGGGTTGCACCAGCTTGCATTCCCACCAACAGTGTAGGAGGGTTCCCCTTTCTCCACATCCCCGCCAACATCTGTCGTTCCCTGACTTGTTAATTTTAGCCATTCTGACGGGTGTGAGGTGGTATCTCATTGAGGTTTTGATTTGGATTTCCCTGATGCCGAGTGATGTTGAGCACTTTTTCATGTGCCTGTTGGCCATTTGGATGTCTCCTTTGGAGAAATGTCTGTTCATGTCTTCGGGGCACCTTGGTTTTTAAAGAACCATCTTGTTTTGTATATGATGTGCCATGCTGGGCTATTGGTTATCATCCTTTCTTGAATTCTGCAGCTGCTGGCATTGCCTTGAGAGAAATTCTATCCTGTTTCTTATGCTAACTTGGTGGCTGCACACTCTGCCCCCCACTGTCAAGGATGCCTCACTAGAAATCATGCTTAGGCTTTTTGTTCTCTCTTTAATGTCCCAAATTGTCAGAGGTAAGACAATGGTGGCAGCAGTGGGATGTAGAAGAGAGATCAAAAGCTGGGCATGGATGACCTAGGGAACATATGCCCTTGTGGGGCAAAGGATTTAGCCTAAGAAGTGGTCAGTAATACCTAACACTTAAATAGGATCTACTCTGTGCCAGGCACTGCTCTAAGCTTTCTACACACATTAACTCATTTAATCCTCACAATGACTTTTCGAGGTAGGCACTAATTCTACTGACACCTTGCATCTGAGGAAACTGTAACAGAGAGAGGGTAAGTAACTTGTTAAAGGTCACTGAGCAGGTGGTGGCATCAGGACTTAAACCCTGGTTTAAGGGTTAAGGACTACCGTCCTTAACCATTATGCCATCCTGCTGCTCAAGGGATCAGAAGACCAGACACCAACAAAAATGGAAGGCCCTGACTACACACAGAGTGGGATCGCAGTTAAGCAGGCAGAGAGGGCCCTGTGTGGGGTGGTCAGAGCCCCACGGGTAGTTCAGAGAAGGGGTCAGACCGGGCACTGGATTGCTAAGCTAGTGGTCAACCAGACAGACAGGAACTGAGGACCAGAGGAGTCTGAGCAGCTAAGTAGAACTATAAGGACAAGCAAATGCCTCAAGGCTGTTTTAACTTGGATGCACCCTTGTGCTGGTTTAAGGTATTATGGGTGTCAGATCAAGAACTTCTTTATCTTAAGGCATTCATAGATTTATCAGACTTTTATCCACAATTGCTCCAAGTTAGACTTCAACACTAGAGTTGTATTGCCTCTAATTTTGTAGCTCTAGCTAGGTGTGTTTTCACCTGAAACATAGAGAAGTAGGCCTTCCTCCTATCCTTGTTCTGCAAAATGCTTCCAGCAGCTGCCAGTTACCTGGAATGGCTTTTTTCCCTTCTGGTTGTCTTTTGTCATTTTTTTGGTTTGAAGAAAAAAATTTCTAGGTTGAGTATTACCCTAAAAACTTTTCCCTACAGAGAGAAATAGTTGGCTGCAAATGCATTATGTTTGCTAGTTATCTGGCACTTCCTTGACTGCACTGAGCATTTGTATGGGTGGAGTAAGGAGAAGAGTGAATTGTTCCATAAATAGCTCTCCAACCTCTCTGTGTGTTCTACAGCAGAGGGAGCATTTAAGAAGAAAATAAGGCAGATTCCTTTTTACTTGGTGATTCACTTTTGGCAAATAACCTTAGGTTATTAGAATAACCTAATAGGTAGAAAGAATCAAAGAGGAAGAAAGGAGGAGAAAACACATGGTGACAGAAATGAGAGTGAGAGTGAGAGCAAGAGAGAGAGGAGAAGAAAGAGACAAAACAGAGGGGAGAAGACAGAGACAGGAGAGAGAAGAAGAGAAAGGAAGAAGGAGAGCCACCAGGATGCCCTTCAGTAGGTGAATGGGTAAATAAACTGTGGCACATCTAAGCAATGCAATAGTAATCAGCACTGAAAAGAAATGAGCTCTCAAGCCATGAAAAGACATGGAGGAAACTGAAATGCACATTACTAAGTGAGAGAAGCCAGTCTGAAAAGGCCACATACAATATGATTCCAACTATATGACATTCTGGAAAAGGTAAAACTGTGGAGACAGATCTGTGGCTGTCAGGGATCGGGGAGTAGGGAGGGTGAACAGGTAGCACACAGAGGATTTTTAGGGCAGTGAAACTACTCTGTATGGTAGTGCAGAGCTGGATCCAGGTCATTGTACATTAGTCCAAACCCATAGAATATACAACATCCAGGACAAATCCTAATGTGAACTATGGGCTTTGGGTGATTATGACATGTCCATGTAGGCTCATCAATTGTAACAAATGCGCCACCTGGGGGAGGGGTGGAATATCGATAATGGAGAAGGCTGTGCATGTGTGGGAAATCTCTGTGCCTCTACTTTGTTGTAAAACTAACGCTGCTCTAAAAAATAAAGTCTTAAAAGAAGAGAGAGAAAGGAGCCAGGACAGGAAGGGAGGAGCTCTCACGAGAGGGCTGGGGCGGCCGAGCCCACTCAATGAAAAGATGGCGGTGTTGAATGATGGCTCTCTGACATTTCTCCATGTCTCCATTCTGCTCAATCATGTCCATAATTTCCTGAATCCATGTGGTCCCTGAGGCCCAAGTGGAAAGGATGAGAAGAAGAAACCAGTTAGACAATCAGTCTTAAGTGTTCTGGGGAGAAAAGGGGACATGTAGACTGATGGCTTTTGGTTCAACTTCCCCTCAGGTCAGGATCCTGTCAGCTACAATAGATGGATGTTCATGTGGGAAAAACCCACAAGGTCTCTATGGAGAGAAGGAGCAGCAGAGGCAAAGCACATGACACTGTCACCCAAGAGCAGCCCATGACAGAGCCCAGCAGGCTGGGTCCTCTAACCAGGGACAATTATGCTTGACCCTGGATAAACCCAGGACACGATCATCCCGAGATCACCTCGTCATGGTACAGAGAGAAGGAGCAGCTCTCCTTGAATGAGTGCAAACACTGTATGAAGGGGAATTCTAACTGTTGTGAGCTACCTTTGCTGACTCCACAAGCTGGAGTCTGGTTGTCCCCCTGGCCCCACTGTCACCTGATTTAGGGTAGGTACAGATGAGGAAATCATCCGGCTTGGCCTCAAAGTTCTGGATCTGGCTCCAGTTGTCCACAGTGCTAGCCTGCAGGGGAACCCCCGCAACCTCTCTCAGTTGTAGCTGTCCCTCCAACGCTGTAGCCAGGGCCATACTGTCTTGCAATGGGAGGGGGAGTCCCTGCGGGCAGAGGATAGAAGGGACTTTTAAAACAATTGTGGTAAAATACCATAACATAAAATTCACCATTTTAACCATTTTTAAGTACACATTTCAGTGCCATTAAGTGCATTTCCACTGTTATGCAGCCATCACCAACATCCATGTCCAGAACTTTTTCATCTTCCCAAAATGAAATTATGCCATTAAACACTAACTCCCCATTGCCCCTTTCCCCCCATCCCCTTCTACTTTCTGTCTCTATGAATTTGTCTAGGTCCTGCATATAAAGAAAATCATACATTATTTGTCCTTCTGTGATTGGCTTATTTCACTCAGCATAATGTCTCCAGAGTTCATCCATGTTGTAGCATGGGTCAGAATTTCCTTCCTTTTTGAGGCTAAATAATGTTCCATTGTGTGTATATGCCACATTTTGCTTGTCCATTCATCCATACATGGACACTTGGACTGCTTCTAACTTTTGGATTTTATAAATAATGCTGCTATGAAATGGGTATGCCAATATCTCTTTGAGATCCTACTTTCAATTCTTTGGAATTGGAATTGCTGGATCATATGGTAATTTTACATTTAAGTTTTTGAGAAATTGCCATGCTGTTTTCCACAGTAGCTACATCATTTAACATTCCCACCAGAAAGGCATGGGTGTTCCAATATTTTCAGATCCTTGCCAACACCTGTTATTTTCTGTTTATTACCTATTTTATTTATTAAGTACATGTTTTCAAATTTTTTAATTTCTATGATAGCCATCCTTATATAGGTATGAGATGATATTCCACTGTGGTTTTGATTTTCATTTCCCTAATTATTAGTGATGCTGAGCATCTTTTCATGTGCCTATTTGTAATTCATATATCTCTTTTGGAGAAATGTTCATTTAAATTTTCTGCCTATTTTTAGAATCAGGTTTTTTGCTTTAAATGCAGAAAATGAGGAAGCCAGGAGAAGTGGGCCATATTACTCCAGAATAATGGGCTATTGAGATAGCAATGTGCTAGGCTTAGTGCCCAAACTCATTTTAACTATTGCATAAAATGAGTGCCAGGACTTTAGAGCTGAAAGGATCCTTACAGGAGATGTAATAGTGCATACTTATTGGAAATTGAATAATTTCCAATTATTGGCCCAGCCTTTCCAAGGAGTGGGTGAGAGGGAGTTAGTGCCACATCGTGAGGTCTGTTTTCAAGGTGGCTTCTACTTTCAGAGTGAGTCAAGTCCCTTAGAATGGAGACTAAGTTTTCAGAAAATGAAAGATGAACCATTTCTGAAAAAAAATTTCAAGTGTAAGAAGCAGCTGTGTTGACAATATGTCAAAGAAAGTAGATTGGGTGATACCAAAAATATTGTGTGATCAACTTTGAGAGGAGGGAAGAGAACTAACACTCCTTAAAGCCCTCCTATGTTAGATCTAAAAAGCTTTTCTTTTTTAATTCACATTATGATTTTACTAGGAGGAATAATTAACACTCATAAATATGAGGGAGATAGGAGTCACATGATCAATGACTTGTCCAGGGTTGTAGCCAGTGTCTTTCTGCAAATGCCACTTTCTTTTTTAAAAAAACTACCCCTCCCGTTTTTTATTGTGAGCATATATAGATACCAGAAAATTTGGAATAAGCCCAAATATAAGAAAATTCATCACCTAGGAATTATTATTTTGATGTATTTCTATCTTTTTCAAATATATATCGAGATATATATATCTCTCAATATATATCAATATATAGTATGTATAATAAACTATTTTATATATATTATTTTATATATAATTATATATATATTATATTTTATTATATATATTATATAAATATAAATATATATACTATATATATTATATATTTTATTATATAATATATAATATATATACTATATATTATATATTGTGTATATTATATATAAAATATATATAATATATTTTATTATATATAATATGCATATTTTATTATATATATAGTAAAGAAAGGAGAAAGGAGAACCCTCCTACACTGTTGGTGGGAATGCAAGCTGGTGCATCCACTCTGGAAAACAGTATGGAGGTTCCTCAAAAAGTTGAAAATAGAGCTACCATATGATCCAGCAATTGCACTACTGGGTATTTACCCCAAAGATACAAATGTAGGAATCGGAAGGGGTATATGCACCCCCATGTTTATAGCAGCAATGTCCACAATATCCAAACTGGAAAGAGCCAAGACGTCCATCAACAGATGAATGGATAAAGAAGAAGTGGTATATATATATATATACAATGGAATATTATGCAGTCATCAAAAGGAATGAAATCCTGCCATTTGCAACGACGTGGATGGAACTGGAGGGTATTATGCTGAGCGAAATAAGTCAATCAGGGAAAGACATGTATCGTATGACCTCACTGATATGAGCAATTCTTAATCTCAGGAAACAAACTGAGGGTTGCTGGAGTGGTGGGGGGTGGGAGGTTTGGGGTGGCTAGGTGATAGACTTTGGGGAGGGTATGTGATATGGTGAACGCTGTGAATTGTGCAAGACTGTTGAATCACAGATCTGTCCCTCTGAAGCAAATAATAGATTATATGTTAAAAGGAGAAGAAGAAGATAGCAGGAGGGGAAGAATGAAGGGGGGAAATCGGAGGGGGAAACAAACCATGAGAGACGATGGACTGTGAAAAACAAACTGAGGGTTCTGGATAGGAGGATGGGTTAGCCTGGTGATGGGTATTAAAGAGGGCACGTTCTGCATGGCGCACTGGGTGTTATAGGCAAACAATGAATCATGGAACACTACATCAAAAACTAATGATATAATGTATGGTGATTAACATAACATAATAAAAAAAGTTAAAAGAAAAAATAGATTAGAACAGAAATCAATGATATAGAAGTCAAAAAAAGTATTACAGGTCAATGAAACTACAAGCTTGTTCTTTGAAAGAATTAACAAGATGATAAGCCCCTAGCCAGACTTATCAAAAAGAAAAAAGAAAGGACCCAAATAAATAAAATTATGATTGAAATAGGAGAGATCAAAACCAACACTGCAGAAATACAAACAATTATAAGAGGTAATTATGAGAAATTATATGCCAAGAAATTAGGCAATCTGGAAGAAATGGATAAATTCCTATAAACGTATAAACTACCAAAACTGAAACAGGAAGAAATAGAAAACCCAAACAGACCCATAAGCAGCAAAGAAATTGAAGCAGTAATCAAAAATCTCTCAACTAACGAGAGTCTGGGGCTGGATAGCTTCCCAGGGAATCCTACCAAACATGTAAAGAAGAATTAATACCTATTCTTCTGAAACTGTTCCAAAAATAGAAATAGAAGGAAAACTTCCAAACGCATTCTAAGAGACCAAAATTACCTTGATCCCAAAACCGAAGACCCCACTAAAAATTAAAGACCAATATCCCTGATGAATATGGATACAAAAACCCTCAACAAGATACTACCTAATTGGATCCAAAAGTACATTAAAAGGATTATTAACCATGAATAAGTGGGATTTATTCCTGGGCTGCAGGGATGGTTCAACATCTGGAAATCAATCAATATGGTACACCACATTAATAAAAGAAAGGATAAGAACCATATGTTCCTCTCAATAGATGCAGAAAAAGCATTTGACAAAATACAGCACACTTTCTGGATAAAAATCCTTCACAGTGTAGGGATAGAAGGAACTTACCTCAACATAGTAAAGACCATATATGAAAGACCCACAGCTAATATCTTCCTCAATGGGGAAAAACTGAGGGCTTTTCCCATCAGGTCAGGAACATGACAGGGATGGCCCCTCTCACCACTGTTGTTCAACATAGTACTGAAAGTCCTCACCTCAGTTATCAGGCAACAAAAAGGAATAAAAGTCATCCAAATCGGCAAAGAAGTCAAACTCTCACTCTGCAGATGACATGATACTCTAGGTGGAAAACCCAAAAGACTCCACACCAAAATTGCTAGAGCTCATACAGGAATTCAGTAAAGTGTCAGGATATAAAATCAATGCACAGAAATCAGTTGCATTTCTATACACTAACAATGAGACAGAAGAAGGAGAAATTAAGGAATTGATCCCATTTACAATTGCACCCCAAACCATAAGATACCTAGGAATCAATCTAACCAAAGAGGCAAAGAATCTGTACTCAGAAAACTATAGAACACTTATGAAAGAAATTGAGGAAGACACAGAGAAATGGAAAAACATCCCATACTCATGGATTGGAAGAACAAATATTGTTAAAATGTCTGTGCTTCCCAGAGCAATCTATACATTCAAAGCAATCCCTATCAAAATACCATCAACTTTTTTCACAGAGCTGGAACAAATAATCCTAAAATTTGTATAGAACCAGAAAGACCCCAAATAGCCAAAGAAATGTTGAAAAAGAAAACCAAAACTGGTGGCATCACAATACCAAATTTCAAGTTGTATTTCAAAGCTGTAATAATCCTCAAGACAGTATGGCACTGGCGCAAAAACAGACACATAGATCACTGGAACGTAATAGAGAACCCAGAAATGGACCCGCAACCCTATGGTCAACTTAATCTTTGACAAAGCAGGAAAGAATATCCAATGGAAAAAAGACAGTCTCTTCAATAAATGGTGCTGGGTAAACTAGACAGCCACATGCAGAACAATGAAACTGGATCACTTTCTTACACCATACACAAAAATAAAGTCAAAATGGATGAAAGATCTAAATGTGAGACAGGAATCCATCAAAGTCCTAGTGGAGAACACAGGCAGCAACCTCTTTGACCTCGGCCATAGCAACATCTTGCTAGACACGTCTCCAGAGGCAAAGGAAACAAAAGCAAAAATGAACTATTGGGACTTCATCAAGATAACAAGCTTTTCGCAATCAAGAGCTTTTGTATCAAGAGGTTGAAAAACGCATCTTCTCCTTCTTCCTGTTGAATCCAATTCTAGGGGTCGATTCCAAGGAAATCATGTTTTAGGTGCTAAAATG